TTATATAGCCTATACAAAAACCACCAATCAAATTAAATTACTGTTCATCTCAAAACATTTCGGTCAATTCCTCACTAATTAATATAAGATATATTTAACAAAGCGTCGAATTTCTTTAAAATAATAAGAACTATTATTTTAGTATCCCTTTAATTCAACAATGCACCTAACAAAATGTTTTCGACTTGTTATCGACTCAACACAGACACAGTTCGCCTTACCTAGGAATCTTGTCTTTATTTGAGCGATTTTTTTTTCAAAGAAGTTATTACTTTTGACGTCTCGGAAAGACTAAGCCCGGGACTGATTAAATTTCTCATTTTAATGTCTACACAGAGCAAAAACATCATTTGTATGTCTAATCATGTCTCATCTCCATTCATACTTGGCTTAAAATACCTTTTTTTAAATGTTTACCTTTTAAACATGGAAATACCCAATTTGCATTACAGCCATCGTGTAGAGCTAAAAACAAATAACTTGGTATATTGGAGTACAGTATTTTAATACTTATCATCCATAGCTGCATTAACATGATTTTTTCAGAGTTTTAAGCAATAGCATATTAGTATCTGATATTAAAAGGTATCAGTACTATCGTACCATCGATCTCTAAATAATAGAGATCGATGATCAGTACCAGTAAAGGTTATAAGACGACTTCTCTCTGCATGTAATAGTATATTACATTACTAGTCCTGAAAATAGGTGTTTGCGAGAAAAGTGTGGTCGTTCCCGTGAGAGACAGAGTCGAGTGCGGGATTACCATACGAGTCCGGTAAACATTTTGGACGAGTGACGTACGATATTTTACGGCATACCTACTACTAAATCGGTACAAATCCTTATATATCACCACTGACTAAAGGACTAACAATCACTACTCATAACCTCAAAGAGAGGTTATGTTTTTAAATACAGTATAATCAGCTGGTTGGTGTCCGGTAATACTCTTTACGCCACACTACATTATTTAGACGAACTTCCCACGCAAGGATTCAGTCCAGAAAACAGCTGTTTGCCGCCAGCTTATTCAAATGGGGTTTCATTGCGTGATACTGTTCTGCAATGAGTTTTACCGGACACCAATCAGCTGATTATACTGTATTTGCGTAGGTAGCAATAATTGGTTATAAGCAAAAACATAACCTCTCTTAGAGGTTATGACTAGTGATTTTTAGTCCTTTAGTTGGTGGAAATATATAAGGATTCGTACGGATTAAGTAGTATGGCGTAAAATATCGTACGTAACTCGTCCAAAATGTGTTTACCGGACTCGTATGGTAATCCCGTACTCGACTTCGTCTCGCACGGGAACGACCACACTCGTCCGGTAAACACTTACTTTCAGGACTAGTAACGTAATATACTATTACAATACGTACGTAATGAAACCCCATTTGTTTAAGCTGGCGGCAAACGGCTGTTTTCTGGACTAAATCCTTGCGTGGGAAGTTCGTTAAAAAGGTGTAGTGTGGCGTTAACTATCATATAAAATAACTCTGAATAGAATATTTTACATGTAACAAATCAGCTGATGTAGAGTGGGCTGCATGGCAGGTAGTTCAAAGAGCGAGCCTCGCATAGCTTGTTAATTACATGTCTTTGACGACAGCACAGCAGGTAAGGTGCGAGCGGCTGATAGCGATGTACCAGAAATATACTGCTTTCACTAATAAATTATGTATGGTTGAGTAGATATTCCAGACAATTTGACAAATTATAAACATCCAACAAACAGATAAAAGTGACTTTATAACTCCATAAATTACTATTCCTTTTACAACACGTATTCAATGATATTATATAGCCTATACAAAAACCACCAATCAAATTAAATTACTGTTCATCTCAAAACATTTCGGTCAATTCCTCACTAATTAATATAAGATATATTTAACAAAGCGTCGAATTTCTTTAAAATAATAAGAACTATTATTTTAGTATCCCTTTAATTCAACAATGCACCTAACAAAATGTTTTCGACTTGTTATCGACTCAACACAGACACAGTTCCCCTTACCTAGGAATCTTGTCTTTATTTGAGCGATTTTTTTTTCAAAGAAGTTATTACTTTTGACGTCTCGGAAAGACTAAGCCCGGGACTGATTAAATTTCTCATTTTAATGTCTACACAGAGCAAAAACATCATTTGTATGTCTAATCATGTCTCATCTCCATTCATACTTGGCTTAAAATACCTTTTTTTAAATGTTTACCTTTTAAACATGGAAATACCCAATTTGCATTACAGCCATCGTGTAGAGCTAAAAACAAATAACTTGGTATATTGGAGTACAGTATTTTAATACTTATCATCCATAGCTGCATTAACATGATTTTTTCAGAGTTTTAAGCAATAGCATATTAGTATCTGATATTAAAAGGTATCAGTACTATCGTACCATCGATCTCTAAATAATAGAGATCGATGATCAGTACCAGTAAAGGTTATAAGACGACTTCTCTCTGCATGTAATAGTATATTACATTACTAGTCCTGAAAATAGGTGTTTGCGAGAAAAGTGTGGTCGTTCCCGTGAGAGACAGAGTCGAGTGCGGGATTACCATACGAGTCCGGTAAACATTTTGGACGAGTGACGTACGATATTTTACGGCATACTACTAAATCGGTACAAATCCTTATATATCACCACTGACTAAAGGACTAACAATCACTACTCATAACCTCAAAGAGAGGTTATGTTTTTAAATACAGTATAATCAGCTGGTTGGTGTCCGGTAATACTCTTTACGCCACACTACATTATTTAGACGAACTTCCCACGCAAGGATTCAGTCCAGACAGAGAGCTGTTTGCCGCCAGCTTATTCAAATGGGGTTTCATTGCGTGATACTGTTCTGCAATGAGTTTTACCGGACACCAATCAGCTGATTATACTGTATTTGCGTAGGTAGCAATAATTGGTTATAAGCAAAAACATAACCTCTCTTAGAGGTTATGACTAGTGATTTTTAGTCCTTTAGTTGGTGGAAATATATAAGGATTCGTACGGATTAAGTAGTATGGCGTAAAATATCGTACGTAACTCGTCCAAAATGTGTTTACCGGACTCGTATGGTAATCCCGTACTCGACTTCGTCTCGCACGGGAACGACCACACTCGTCCGGTAAACACTTACTTTCAGGACTAGTAACGTAATATACTATTACAATACGTACGTAATGAAACCCCATTTGTTTAAGCTGGCGGCAAACGGCTGTTTTCTGGACTAAATCCTTGCGTGGGAAGTTCGTTAAAAAGGTGTAGTGTGGCGTTAACTATCATATAAAATAACTCTGAATAGAATATTTTACATGTAACAAATCAGCTGATGTAGAGTGGGCTGCATGGCAGGTAGTTCAAAGAGCGAGCCTCGCATAGCTTGTTAATTACATGTCTTTGACGACAGCACAGCAGGTAAGGTGCGAGCGGCTGATAGCGATGTACCAGAAATATACTGCTTTCACTAATAAATTATGTATGGTTGAGTAGATATTCCAGACAATTTGACAAATTATAAACATCCAACAAACAGATAAAAGTGACTTTATAACTCCATAAATTACTATTCCTTTTACAACACGTATTCAATGATATTATATATACAAAAACCGCCTATCAAATTAAATTACTGTTCATCTCAAAACATTTCGGTCAATTCCTCACTAATTAATATAAGATATATTTAAGAAAGCGTCGAATTTCTGTGTCAACAAAGTTCCAGCAAAAATAATAGTATCGCTGTTCAAAATGGAAATAAAACAAGTTGTTCGTTTTAGTTCTGAATGTATTAGTCTGTGGTAGTATTTTTAACCAAAGGTCAGTTATTACAGCTGTTTGATATTTCTATTGAAATGGTGCTCTAGTCTTTTGTTTGTTTATCTAACCTTTAAATCAAAAACAAATAAAATGACAAGTCTTGTTTGAACTAGTACTATCGAAGAACCGCCAAATTACTATGTTTGGGAATTAACAAAGTGCTGAATGTTGCTTCTTTTTCAGGATTTTTATGGAATAACTAATCGTAATTTCAAAGCCATGCAACTTTAAAATGTGCAGGTATAAATGTGTTTAATTATATCATAGACTAACCAACACAATTATGATTATATATTCTATAGCCGGGGTTTTCTAGGCGCGGAAGCGGAGAGTGGGGAGAGAGTAACGCGGAGAGCGGACTCCACTTGTCTTAGGTAATTTAATGTTACTGTTTCCTAGAAGCGGAGCGGAACAAAAATGTTAATCGCTTCTCCGCTCTCCGCGTTCCTCTCTCCGCTCTCCGCTTCTGCGCCTAGAAAAACCCAGCTTTAACCACTGGCAAAGGCTTTTGTAATCAGTTTTTTTTTATTAATAAGCTTTTCAATCTGTATGTGATTGAGTCGTGTTTGCAAGAAATTCATTCTTTGTACTTGATTTTTTTACAAAAATTCAACAATGTCTGGTGCAGTGGTGCAGTAACTGGTAACTAAGATTTTTTTTCGTAGACAGTATTTGGTATTTTCCAAGTTCCTTTATTTCTTATTGGTTAGACCACAGCAGGTCCTTGTAGTCCTTTATAGTTTGCTAAATCACAATATTCAAAGATCTCATACTTGTGAATTGAAATTACAGTAAATATAGTAAAAGTTATCTTACAAAAATTGCTTTATGAGCTCTTGTTACATTACCACCATTTTTGCTAGATCTTACATGGAATGTTTGAACTGAATCTGAAAAATAGCTGTATTAGAAGTCGAATTGTTTCAATTAAATCTAAAATATATTAGAGAAACTAAAAAATGTGAGTAATAATACACTACCTATATGTTGCATCTGCGTTAATCAAAGTTAATTTAGACTATAAATATAAACACACCGTAAAATTACTGTTCCTATTTATGAAAAAGTATTTTACCATAGGAATCTCTAAATGAATATGTAAAGTTTTATTAATCTACATCTTTTCCACTTTATTTTCCAGAGAATTGTTTACTTGTCAGAATCAAGTTTCATGAAGCTAATTCCAGAGAGAATAAAACTGATTCCTACAAATTACGTTGAAAAGGGAAAACTGAAAATGAACAATCAAGGTTATACTGAGGTTAGTTTGTTACATTTTTACACTGAGGAATCTTCTCCTCCTGATGATCCTAAAAATGCTATGCAGCGCACTGATGGCAACTTGGCCCTCTTGTCGGCCGTTTCGCAACCGTACCACATCACACTACGGCTTTAAAAAAATGAAAATTTGTTAGGGAAATTTTATTTATTTTTATTTTTTTGTATTAGTAAGCTATAATTTTAAGTTTAAATACTGGCAGGCTTAATGATTTGCATAATAAATTAAACCTAGGGCATGGGGCGGAGCCCTAAAATGTGAGTCAAAAGGCTTAATGTTTTTCTCAAACTCTAGGATACAATTTACCAATGTGTACCTTATCACTCTCAGGTCATAATAAAAAAGGTCTAAAAGCGGTAATAATACATTGTTCTATATGAACCAACCTAATAATAAGAAGCCTACCGTAATAAGTAAGTATCAAGTAAGTACTGGGTCATTCGCCTATTGGGACAGATGATGATTGGAGTGTCCAATCGAAATCGATCCCCACTTACCACCTTTTATGTATTTTCCATCTTGTGAGTTAACAGTATAAGCATAAATATATGTTTTAAGTGTTAAGTAGACATATCTTTTATTTACTTTCTATACAATTAAAATATTTGACTTTTATAATGTTCAACAGAAACAATGGACATTCAAAGATGGTGAGAGAACCATTGATATGGTAATTGTTTGGGATGAATCCAGCCACAAAGCTCATTCTAAAAGAGCTTCTGATAAGAGAACAGTGAGTACAGCTTTTTTTGAACTCCTTTAACTATTTCACCTAATTTTATAGATTCATTTGATTAAATTAGATGTCAAACAACTAACCAAAGAGATTAGTTAATTTAATTCACACCAAATTGAACATGCTATTTTACAAAGGTTGAAGAAAAAGAAGTACCCTAATGTATACTTTTAAATCATTTAGTTTAACCAAACCATACAGACTGTTAAAAATTATATGCTTGAGGTTCTCACAAAGTCTAACTGATTTCAACAGGTAGCTCAGTAAGCATAATGAAAGTTAAGTAAGTTAATGATATGTATTTATCCATTTTATGACACCAAACAAAAGTGTTTCAAGAAAACACATTTATCAGGTAATTGACAAATACAGAAGAAAGACAAAGAACTTTTTGTTCCAAAATGTTTAGTCAAGTTCCAGTTGTATTTTTGAGCCAATAGATTCAGTGTTCATACTGTATAATACAAGCATTTTAAATTAATTGCAGATTTTTGAGACCAACTTAAGAGAGGAAGGCTTAGAATTGGAGCACGAGACAGTCCCTGACTCTGGATTACATTTTATAAAAATCCACGCTCCGATGGAAACTCTTCAGCGCTACGCGGAGATCTTGAAGATGCAAATGCCTGTGAAAAATGTAAATAGTTTTGACAAATCATTATAGTTATACAGTACACCCATAACCCTTGTCTTACCAGCTTAGCTCGTCAGTAGCAGTACTGCTAACTCACTGGCGCTTAAAGCGCATCGCAAAAAAGTATACTTCACCCTGCAAATGGAAAATATCCCGATGGAGCACCTAACACTTATGTAAATGAGAATATTAATTCAACATTTTTATTGTAAAAGGGTAGTTTAAAACATAAACTCACAAATCGTACAAAATCTCAGTCAAGGAAATAAAAAGTTACAGTACTATTATTTTATAAAATAATTTTGTCTCTGTCCCTTAAAATGCAAAGTTATATTTTTCAGCTATATATCACAACAGATGGACAGAATACTCGATCTACAGTTAAATCTTGCTGCAGAATCTTATGTCCGTTCTTGAGTTGCTGTGAATTAAACCCTGAAGTCTTCCCAGACTGTGGGAAATCGGTGACTGCCTCTTACTCGCGAGCCAGAGATTTTTTGTAAGTTACATAATATTCACTGTAAAATAGTAAGTGAACTGACAAGACGTTGAAAGTATGACAATATAAACCTCATAAACATTATCATAGTGTGTTGTTCATGTATTGGTGGTGCTCAGGTTAATCATATTGTTTCTTCTCCCAAGAAACCCTGTCTATTCTTTTGTAAATATGAGCTTCACTTGCCTTTGTTTTTATCTTGTGAATATCTAAGACTCATCAAGTACTTAGTCGACAGCCAAACAGACTTAAGGTATCAGAACCAACGTTTCCTGGGACCCCTAAAATGTCCGCCTCCTCAGAGAAGGAAACGTTCCTTTCTTGCATCCCACAAAGACATACAAATTAGATAGGTACTCGAAAAAGACAAACTTTTTGAGTTTATTTAATGCTTGTTGGGTAATTAATTTAAAGAGAACAATAAAGGTGAGTGTAAGCTATAAAATATATACAAATGAATCATACATTGCCTGAAAGTAAGAAAATTACAAGTTACAAGTTTACTCCATGATATTTCCCTACTTGTTCACTTCAGCCGCATTATTATGTTCATTCCTTAGTCAACTGATTTCCTACATTAGTCTAATCCTTATATATAATACGTGAAGGAGAATTTTACGAAACACTACTCCTCCGTTAATAATGGACGGATTTTTACAAACGACGTGTCAAAATAAAGTATTTTTTGTGTAGACGCCCCCTTTCACCATTTCCTGTAATAAAAATCCTCGGGCTTTGCCCCACAGGCCATCAAAGTTGGAGTTTCCCCCATAAGATTAACATGGGGGAATCTAAATATTTAATTGGAAACTTTGTCCCCACTAATTTGAGAGAACGGCTGGGCGTAGAAACTTGGTAGAGGTGTCCAAAGAAAGGTCTTGGTCTGTAGATGAGTTATCAAAATAAAAACTAAGCAAAATCCCTTAGGACTCTGCCCCAGAATCCTTTAAAGATCCCTCCACAGAGTTGTTTACATTTTGGGCATGTGAATAATCTTCTAATATATAAAATTCTCGTGTCACAGTGTTTGTCTGCAAACTCCTCCGGAACGACTTCACCGATCGTTATGAAATTTGGTGTGTAAATTCTGTAGGTATGCGAATAGGAAGTAAACTATTTCCCGTTCCGAAATTCTTAAAAGGGCTCCGCCCCAGTGGCTCTGGAGTTTCCCATGTTAACCTTATGAGAAATGGAATTAATGAATCTTAACAGCTGTTTCAATTAAATAGCATTAAAGTTACAAGGATTACCAACAGGGTGCAGCACTATTATTTCTTTTACATTTATGACAACAGCTAATTTGCAACCAAAAGGTGAGTGAGCGTAGCGAACGAACTTCAACCTGGAGGCGAGTGAGCGTAGCGAACGAGCTAACCTGAAGGCAAGTGAGCGCAGCGAACGAGCTCCAACCTAAAGGTGAGTGAGCGTAGCGAACGAGCTCCAACCCAAAGGTGAGTGAGCGTAGCGAACGAACTTCAACCAGGACGTGATTGAGCGATGCGAACGAGATCATCTTGAAAATTAAACGTAACGGTACTTTCTTTCCATCGGTCTGTCTTAGGGGAAACCTATAACTTAGGCGATACGAAGTTCGCTGGGTCAGCTAGTCCTTATATATAATACGTGAAGGCGATTTCTAGAAAAGACTACTCCTCCGTTAATAATGGACGGATTTTTACAAACGACGTGTCAAAATAAAGTTTTTTTTGTGTAGACGCCCCCTTTCACCAATTCATGTAGTAAAAATCCTCGGGCTTTGCCCCGCAAGCCATCAAAGTAGGCGTTTCTCCCATAAGATTAACATGGGGGAATCTAAATATTTGATTGGAAACTTTGTCCCCACTAATTTGAGAGAACGGTTTGGCGTAGAAACTTGGTAGAGGTGTCCAAAGAAAGGTCTTGGTCGGTAGATGAGTTCAGTGGCGTAACAAATTTTTACGGGCCCCCCTGCAAACTTATTTTTTGGGCCCCCCCCCCACTCATGAGTTATTTTTAGACCACCAATACAACATAATCAAACGCCCTCCCCCTCCCACCAGAGTATTTTGTGGACCACCTATACAATGATCAAGCAGATTAATCATAAAATGAGTGGTAAATAAATTATGAAAAAAAATATTAAATTAATATATTAAATTGTGAGATATGCTCCATAAAAGGGTATGTGTTAAGTATTTTCAGTCGTGGTTTGATGGAAGTGTTACATCACTACATCATTATATCAGTTTTAGTGTTTGTAAACAGTTTTGAAATCAAATAAAAACCCCTTATTTTCCATCCGTCTATCAGAATGTTTATATCAAGGAGGTTAAAAACTTTACATTTAATTTATCACACATGTTATCCATTTTTATTTCCCTGATAATTAGACTTATTCGTTAATTACAAGGCAAAATGTGGTTCGAATTCCCCTATTAACCACCTTAGGCCCCTTAGTTGCCTTTTGCTGTATTAGCTAATTAATTAACATCTGTGTCTAATGTCTAAGGAATATGTCGGCCTTAGTCCCTTTCAACACTAAAAAGTTGGGCTACTCATCTCCATTAATTCTTGGCTTAAAATACCTACATTGGTATGGTCGCCATTTCAAAGTAAATTATTAAAGTCAATCAATCAATTATTTAAGATGGGGACGCCAATATGTGAGTATTTAAACCCAAATATGACTGAAGGATGAGAAAGTATTAATTTATTAGGTTAGTGTAACTCTTTGGTTATAATTAACTCATACACTAAAAGCTGGTTAGTTTAATAGATTGACGTACTATAATCACAGGCTAAAATAGCCTATTGCATTTTTTATTTTATCTTTGTATGGATTTCAAGCGTCTTATTATGTTGTAAGCGTTTATCTTACAACTAATGTCTTTAGTAATGGTTAATTGTGGGGCTAACAAACACAGTCAGTAGAGTAGCAGTATATTGTATTTAACAAAACACAATCAATATTAGGACAAAGCTAAAATGTAAAATAATACAATATTAAATGCCCCAGCCAACGTTCATGACTCCAGGCTCCAAAGTAACAAAATGATCGCAGACGACATAAGCAGTGTACGAAATCACCGAGAAGTAAAATATTTCTCGGTGACGAAAGTAAGATTGCATAATAATCAAAGACCCACGTTATAACATGTTAAATTTGTTACCCTAGTTCGTTATCACTGAAGAGGCCTAACGAAATTAAACGATAACTGATAACAACATATTATTAATAACATCAATGTTATTACTTGTTCAATACAATTATTGAATGAATGAACTCCAATTTTTCGGCCCCACTCGTCTCACGGGCCTCTCCGCTCACCGTTTCCCGCTCACCGGTTCGCGGGCCCCCTCAGCTCCCGGGCCCTGCGGGCCCTTCTGTTACGCCACTGGATGAGTTATCAAAAGAAAAACTAAGCAAAATCCCTTAGGACTCTGCCCCAGAAGCCTTAAAAGATCCCTCAACAGAGTTGTTTACATTTTGGCCATGAGAATAATACTTTTTAATGAAACAGCTGTTCATTTTTAAATTGTATTTCAAACAACACATATTTATTGGGAGTTGAATTCTACCAAATAAGTATTTGCAATGTTGTTTTCTGATTTTAAAATTGATTTTCTTCTTTATCATGCCATGTTTTGCAATATAACGTTCCATTACGAAATCAGTGGAAAATCCTTTTATCACAGCAATTCTTAAATTATTTCTTATTGAACTATCTTATATCTATTGTACGGGTTGGTGTGTGCCTTTTTCGCCACTTTTGCCTACATTTTAACTTATTATTCTACAAAATATCAAATATTTATGTAGAAATATCTGCTCTTATTGTGTCTAATAAAATCCAAACTTAGAAATATTGCCTAAAATGGTACCTATCTTGACAAATTATTTGCACCTGCCTATATTACGGACTTTGGCGCACCGAATTTGTAACATTATTGAAAATAACACGAAATTTTGGCTGTAAAATATGGTACAAAGAGAAAATACAATTTAAGCAGCTACTGTCATGACAGAAAGGTCATATTCCTTTTAAACTAGATCACATAATCCTTTGACTGGGACGGGTGGCGTCGTCCTGTAATCCAGCTACTAGGTCACGAATTGTGGATATTTATAGGAATGCACTGTGGATGCGATACTCCCTGGTGTGGATTAACGTCCGCACAAGTGAGTACTACAACTACCCGCAGTGCTATCCTGATAATTATACCAATTCATAAATACCAATGCAAAAAAAATTTGGTTCCAATTCAACTATAAACTGTAGGTCCCTTGGTTGCCATTCGCTGTATGGGCTATTAGTTAACAGCTGTATCCAAGGAATGTCGGCCTTAGTCACTAACAAGACTTCAAGATCGTGCCACTCATCCTACACTCATCTCCATTCATACTTGGCTCACCTACTATGAATGGTCGCCATAAAAAACGTATTAAAGGATTAAAGTATTTATCATATACGACGAAGGAAAATCAAACTTACACTGAAACGGATATACCTCCCTTTGAAATTAGAATATGTCTTCCCAAAAAATATTTTCATTTCAAATAAAATCATATTACACTGATGAAATTACGGAAGTGTTTAACTAAATTTAAGTCCTAAAACTATCTCCTAGTGAAGGTATGCAATGGGTTACATATGGGTTGCAATGGGGCTTTACATAATTTTGAGTGCTTCCATAATATGAGAGCATTGGAAACACTTAATTGCCCAATCTCTTCTTTTCTTAATTTTCAGATTTGATGTGGGATCTCCTGGCTTTTTCACATCAGCACAGAAATCCAGGATTGTTCAGTTCATTTTGGAAAGAACACTTTACACAAAAAAAGGCAAGATAAATGTCTTTGAGTTTGGAATCAATAGGCTGGTGCTGCATGGAGTATACACCGCATCGTACCCACTACATGATGTAAGCCATTTAAAACACACTTTAATTAGTAAAAAAATATTCTTACTCCTTTCCAAATATAACTATCAATGAAAGTCGTATTGTTAACAAAGGAATATACATAACATTGAGTAAGAAGGTTATAGAGTGGTACTGTACTAACATTTCCTGGGTTGTCTAAATGAATGTGCACTTTTACAATCTCAATTATAATAATATGTAATCTTTTTCCTCTAAATAAAAAAGTTACAAATGCTTCATTTACACTTCACTTAAAAAAGTTCTCTATGTAAAAACTCAGCTAAAAAACCTTTGCACGAAAGAGTTATTCTCATTAAAGTACTGGGGTTCTTGCTTGAGAAGAAACTTAAGCAGCATGCCATTGCCAAACAAACACAATCATTAATATCATTCTGGCTGCTTTTCCAAGTGAGAAACATAATCAAAACTCATAAGGAAAAATATGCAAGTAGAGGAGTTTTAAAGATTAGGATTTCTGTACATTTACTTTTCAGAAATACTGTTTCCAAACATGAGGTAAACACTGACAGAACAAGTGACTGCTTTAGCTGTAACTTTGCTGTCCCTGATAAAAACTCTTCTGAGCCTGTACAACCATCTCAGTCTCTCAGAAAAGCATAGTGTGCTGTCAGTACCTATGGGTGCGTACACAAAGAACGCCGGTTGCCGGCGCCGGCAAACCGGCAGCTTGCTCCTCGTGCTTATAAGCGCGGCAAAAGCTTGAAGCCGTACATAAAGAAAGCTGCTGGTAACAAGCGCGACAAGTCAGTTCACTTTAAGCAGTGTCAAAGATGTCTTCGTCTAGTGATGATGTGTTTTTGGCGGAGAGTGTTCATGTAAAATTATTGCAAAGGAGGAAAGTCGGTGTTCATGTTATTAATAGACATAGGAAGAAACTTGGTGAATACCATCACTTATTTCCGCAACTAAAAGGTGACCCACAATGGTTCTACACATACATGAGAATGGAGCTAGCGACTTTCGATTACATATTAAGAAACATTGAAGGACGTTTGGTTAAAAAGTGGTCAAACTGGCATAAACAACCAATAGAACCAGAAGAGCGTCTTGTCATATTTTTGAGGTAATCATATATTTTTGTCATATCCCAAATCGCCTTCTTTTGATAAACTTTGGAAATTAAATCATCTGTATCAACCATCGCGCTATGACACCCACCAACTGCACAGTACAGAGACGACTCGCGGACTGAGCCGGTTGCCTGAACCGGCTTATAAGAATGTTCTCTTCATACTTGTTTGCCGGTTGACGCCGGCAGCTCGCGCTTGTTGCACTTGTTGAGCCGGCACCGGCGTTTACTGTGTACGGGCACACTTGAAACCATGTTAAGTTCTTCTCGAGCCGGGACGCGCTTACAGCGGCTGGTTTGCCGGCGCCGGCAACCGGCGTTCTTTGTGTACGCACCCTACATCTTGAAACATTAATACCATTTCTGTTTAGGGTGATCTAGAGACGCCGGGTAGTTTGCGCTACAGGTTTTACCACTACTGGGCATCTTTCAAGAACTGGTACAAGAAACAACCAGCTGACCATATCAGGCAATATTTTGGAGTCAAGACTGCGTTGTATTTCCTCTGGCTGGGGTACTACACTAAAATGCTGATTCCAGCATCTATTGTCGCTGTTGTTTGCTTCGTTACGTCAATTTTACTATTACCCTCTGCTGTAACGATGTAAGCATTGCACATTTTAGATGAGATGTACAATAAAATGATAAGCACTGTTAATGATCCCAGTTGAAGATTTGGTATGAACTTTACATTGGTAAACTGGTAGTTTATTTGCTTTCTTTAGCATACAATGTTAGGAACTAACTCTATGATGAATAATGTTAGTAATAAAATTTGAGTTTGATCTTATTAGTTTGTTATATACTCCGTTCAAAAAATGTAGGTGGTTTAAGGGGAAGAAATCCATCCCTCCACGTCTTGATCCTAACAGCTGAGATTTGTCAAAACGTCAATCAGCTGCAACATACATTAAGCAACAAAAGGCGGTGGGGGAACTTCCCCTCAAACTGCCTAAATATTGTGAAAGGACTATGAATAATAGAAGTCTAATAGAGAGAAGTTTATTGGAAATTGAGATTTATTTTGAGGTTATATATAGGTTATCTTGTTTGTGTAAGTTTTATTTGAAATTAAATAGTTTGGACGGTAACCTGCATATTGTATTCCCCATCATAATAATAAGTCTTTTATTCTACCAAATTAATCCATCCACAACCCAATTTTTAATTTTCAATAAAATCTTTAGCTCAAAGTACAAACTTCTTTAGAAAGAACAACAGAATCCTCAAAACTTAACCACCACTTTTGACTCCCTGAAGGGGATTCTTATGACTATGTTAAAGTAAACCCTTAAAAATGTATTTCAGAGATGAGGTTTGTGATGGAGCAATAAAAGACGTCATGTGTCCGCTGTGTGACAGATACTGCAAATTTGTGAACATTTCAGACACTTGCTTGCAAACAGAAATACTCTACATCTTCGACAATTCTACTACTGTAGTTTTTGCTGTATTTATTTCTTTTTGGGGTGAGTGTAAATGGTTTCTGTTAAGTAAACTTAGAAAATAAGTAGGAATCTAATAATTTCAAAGCTTGTTATTTTTTTAATAAGTCCTAATCATTCAGTGAATTGAAATCACAATAATCTAAGCTCTAGTTATGTTGATGAAAAAATTGCAAAATTTTGGGATTAGAAGGAGGTTGAAATGTTCTTCTTCAAATCTACAGACTAAACATGGTACAGTACCGGTAACCATTTACTTCCATTAGAAAAAAGGGCCTCAGACTTGGACAAATATAAGATTTACTAAGTGTAATCCTAAACAAACCAAGTATTTAGTTTTTTTTTTTAATGTTTTCCAGCTGCAATCTTTCTTGAATGCTGGAAGAGATACTCAGCGGAAATAACCCTCCGCTGGGATCTGACATCTCTTGACGACAGAGATGAAAACCCTCGTCCAGAATATGCCGCAAGGCTGTCCAAACTAGCTGCAGATAAAAAAGTCAGCCATAAGCTGAATTTTATTACAAACGCTAGTGAGCCCAATTTGAGCTTTTGGATGATATTCCCAGGAAAAGTGATAAGCATCACTACAGTGCTATTGCTGGTAAGAGTTCAGCCATAAACCCAGATCTCCGTTCTGAAGTTTTAACCCAGAAACATTAACACTTTTTACCACATGGTCTTTAAATCCTACACACTTTACTGTTGTGTACACTTTAGTGCAGAAAAGTTCATCAAAGTTAAATATAAAGCCGGTTTTGATGAACATTTCAGGTCCTGTTTTGTTTTAGTACTCTGATGTCAATTGTTCCCTTTTTCTATGTAGATTTTGTAAGTGATTTTACTCTTGGGTTATAAATCTAGAGTAAAAGAAATAGTTTACAGATGGATTAATTTCTTTGGTTAAAACAATTTGAATGTTTGTGAACCACAATAAATACTTGTTTACATACATGTGATGGGATTTTACTAAAGTTATTTTGAAATATTATGTTGTGCATTGTGTGTATTTGTAAGCTTCCTAGTACGTTATATAGTCATAGAGAATAACTATATGGATAATAGAGAGTGTTTGCTTTTTTATAAGTAGTTTAGTCACGGACATATTCGGTTGTTGATGTACTCACTGTTCCTGTCAGGTTTCACTGGCTGTAGCAGCTGTTATCGGTGTTACTCTGTACCACATGATTGCGTTGACTGCTCTACCTCTCGGCATCATCTCATCCATATCTGCTACTTGCCTCAATCTCATCTGCATTTTGATGTTCAGTCCCGTAAGTGGCATACTTTTAGGGTAGTGTACTTTCAAATGTAATGTAGAGTCTTCAGCAAACAGTATACAAAATTTAGCAAACACAGAATTTTATTCGTCCCTTGGATTAGCATTCCGGGATGTCTCTGTATAGAGGGTAAACATTTTTAGGTTTCATTTTAAGTCATACTTTTATTGTCTGGAATAAAACTCCATATGTGTAACTGGTTCAAGCGTTTGCGGTTGTGCTAATGCACAGTTGACTATAGGAGAGGAAATTAAAAGAATTGCAGATAATGTAGAAGAACCAAAGATGTTCCTAGTTTTGTGCACCATACCTCCAATTCTAGAAATCTAAGCTTGCAAATTAAACCAATTATTGAAGTTTTAAGTCAAATTTAATTATTGGTCTTATTACGATCATTATGTTTTACCATATGATTTTTTCTAAACAGATGTTTTGTACACTAGAAAGTAGGCTTTTACCATTATGCCTTATGTCTCCTGTATCATTGACTTAATAGTCAATGCCTGTAAGACATAGACCCGGGACTGATTTACGATTCATAGCTGATCACAAATTTTATTCACAGATCTACAGCAAACTGTCACTGTTTCTGACTGAAATGGAAATGCCACGCACACAGAGGGAATTTGACAGTTCTCTGACTCTAAAAATGTACATGTTGGAATTTATAAACCACTACTCGTCCATATTCTACATCGCCTTCTTCAAAGGGAAATTCGCTGGTCATCCTTCTGGTTATTTTAGGGTTTTTGGATTTAGACAGCTAGAGGTTAGTAAAAACTAAAAAAATATATCAAATTGTTACTATTTGAGGAATATTTCGTTAATATTTGTACAAAATTATTAGAGAGGAACCATTCCAGAAGTTTAACTTTATAAAATTGAAGATTGGTAGCAAAGTTGATATTAACTTGGATTATAAGTTATCAGTTAAAGCTATTGATGTATTTAAAGGTGTATATTTATAGTGTACTGTTTTCTCTTCACTAGTTTCATGGATGAAAAGGATTTTTCTCAAATTTATATAGATGAGATTTGATTTAGTCACATTAAGGATTTCAGCAGTTTAAGGCGTTTATTTATCTCTTTTTACTTTTAATATTTGTTCATTCTAACTTTCTGAGATGAAGGCATGACTCTAAAGTGCCTTATGCTCAATCACTATTTCTGATTGAGGATTTATACAAGCGCAACACAAAAACAATTCATTGTTGCCTTGTCTTTAGAGAGGTCAGCTCTAAGAATGGACTTTGAGGTGCAATAACCTCAATAATGAATTTCCATTTCATTGATGCTTCTACATTCATGCAGCCAATCTACCAATGTAAAAGCTGATCATTAAGATTGTCAACCATTTTGTTACTGATGAAACAGAAATAACTGCTTATCTTCTACATATTCTACAGAGTTGTTTACTTTTTCTTGTAGTGTGGTGCAGGAGGCTGTATGCTAGAACTGTCACAGCAGCTGGCTGTGATAATGATCGGCAAACGAGCTTTCCGTACACTCAGTCAAATATTACGACCGTAAGTTTCATATTATTGTCCTATAAATAGCATAGAACAATCATTGACTATTAGTATTATTAATTACAACTAGACATTCCATCCCCATATTAAATTTGTAGCCAGATTTTGATCAATATAGTCATAGTTTATGAGAGCCGACGACAGATTGAGCTGATCTAAATTACTAAATTCTTTCGAATACACAAACCTTTTTACCAAGTCAAACTTAGGGGATGACTTATGGTGAGCTATACAACTGTTATTACCCATTAACATGGTCAGCGAAAAAGTAAGGTATAAAATATAATTTTAGATACTAATAACCTAACTAGGGGAAATAATTTCAGCCAACTATCCGAATCTGATGTTAGAGACTAGAATGACAATGAATAGGATCTCATTGACAACTTGACCAGAATCAATACTTTTAAAACAAAATTTACAAACTATTCCTATAAAGGGAAGTGGTACACTCCAGACGGTAGCCACTCTGCTAACCACTAATTTTAATGCATGACACTTATATCAGAAAAGTAACAAAAATAGGTAAAGTGTATCGTCATGGTATTGAGAGACAAAGTGAAAAGCAAAACACGTGGTATGTCTTTAGCTGTAAATATTTCTAAATAATAAATCTTCCAACTTCTTTAATTTATTTTCCTTATCGCTAATATGGTAAATTGTTTTAAATGGCAAATCATCCAAGAACTTTGTAGTTTTTCCCAGCAAAAGTAGCACAACCCCATCGACTAAGTTTTTTTTTCTCACCCAACCCAAGCAAGAGTACATTTCAAACCTACCTGTTTATTCCATAGAAGAATTTCCCACCTACCTCAAGTAATTTAGATGTATTAATTATTATTTTGTAATCCTCTGTTGCTTTTTATTCTACCCTTCGTGTTATTTAAACAAATGCTTTCTTTTAGCGTTAGAATTTATTGATGCTGTTCATTGTACCAGTACCTGGGGACCAAGCCTTGCTCTGCGAAAATCAATAGTCTACTCTGAAACCAGTCTTAGTATAGCAGATACATTGGTCTATTCCCAAACTTCACACACTGCTCGCTTTTACTACTTCCTTCACCACTCCCTACAACGTGGACCTATTTCCCTCCCTCCCATAGCATTTAAGTATTACAGATACATTAATCCAACTGCCACAAACCCCACTCCCACTCTGCAAAGCCAGCCTTTACTACTTCCTTCACCACTCCCTACAATGTGGACCTGTTTCCCTCCCTCCCATAGCATTTAAGTATTACAGATACATTAATCCAACTGCACAAACCCCACTCCCACTCTGCAAAGCCAGCCTTTACTACTTCCTTCACCACTCCTTACAATGTGGACCTGTTTCCCTCCCTCACATAGCATTTAAGTATTACAGATAGCCTACATTAATATAATTGCCAAACACAGTTCCCACACTCTGCACTCCTAGCCTTACTACTTCCTTCACACAATTCTAACTGCAGTAAACTCGTTTTTGGGCCAGAAATAAACTACTTACAACATTTAAAGAAAATCGTCGAAGCCGTTTTCGAGATCTTTGAGCAAACATACATACATACATACAAGCAAACATTGCTCATATTAGAGTATAGGATTACATAAAAATGAACATGTTTGAATGATTGAATATGATATTTTCTTAGAAAGTGATTTAGTTTAGATATTTTATTTGAATAAGAATTCAGGGACTGAGTTTATTAAAAAAAATTATATGCTTGTCATCAATCTCCTCTATGGGGGATACTTAAACAAGTCGAAGTATCTGTTTTATGCAATTTGAAAAAGGATGTATTAAATTCTGGACACTAATTTCTTCAGGGAATCTCAGATTCATCCCTTTCTTAATGAAAAATCCTTTGAAAAGTACTATATTTTTATATTTCAATGCATTAAAAAATAAACTGTCTACCAGAATCATCACCCTGTTTTGGCGGAAGAGATTCAGTAGTTTCCGAAGGTCCTGGGACGACCGAGAGATAAGTCAGTGGGAGAAGGATTTCCTATTGACTGACGGAGGACCCAGGACTCTGTTCCCCGAGTACCTGGACATGGGTGAGTGGTGTTTGTGATGGTTGGTTACAAACAAAAAAAGTTGTCAAATCCTGCCAATCCATAGAATTGTTCGCTATTGTCGGGACCACGTAAGTTTGCAGTTGAGGGAGGAGCCTATTTACCATATGGTTTTGAATGAACCAATGAGAACCATGCGGTGTTGCCAAATCTGTTAATACCAGCTGATTTTATATTGCTTAGTATACTTCAATTAGTGTTGTCAACGGGCAATGTGGCAACGTTGCACTAGCCTTGTCTTGTGATTGGCTGCCACCAACTGCAAACTTACGTGGTCCCGACTTTAGGTACTATTGTTGACACTATGAATACATAATGAAGATGTAAATTTGTTCTATTTTAGAAAATATCCAATAACATTTCTTTCCTATTGCAGTTCTTCAGTACGGATTCGTCACAATTTTTGTGTCAGCTTTCCCCCTGGCTCCATTGTTTGCGTTGATTAACAATATTCTTGAAATCAGAATCGACTCGCAAAAACTTCTCATCTATCATCGGCGTCCGACGCTGAGACGCACCAAGGACATTGGAATTTGGTTTGACATCTTAAAGTATATTTCCCACTTGGCTGTTTTTACAAATGTAAGAATTAGTTCATTTTGTGTTATAACTAGAGGTGTCTATCTTATATAGATATACATGTATCTTAACTATTTGTTTAGCTTGATCTTGAATGATTTTCAAGTAATAAGACTTGCAACAAGTTCATGTTGGTTTAAGTGACCAGGGCGTGATGATGCAATGTGCGTTTTGACTTCCTGTTGCATCGATAGACTGCTGGTTTTAGAAACTCAAGCGAAATAAGTAAAGGTACAAAAAAGTATTTATGATTTCTCATTACGAAGTTTAGCCCTTAATTTTAGCTTACTACATACTCTTATTTCTTTAGATAAACCTAAATGTATTACACACAGGAAAGAGTAATACTGTAATTTTAAAAGAACCCCACAAGAAATGGAGAGGTATCCGTTACCTAAAATATAGGAATCTTGTCAAGGACATGTTTTGTGAACTCAGAATTTTATTTGTTTTTAGTTTAGAACCATACCTCTAGAGTTAACTATTTTGGTTACAGGGGTTTATCATTGCATTCACATCCAACTTTATTCCGAGGATGGTCTACAGGGTTGCTGTAAGCCAGGACTACGGAACGGCGGGGTTTCTGAACCGTTCCTTGTCCTACATGGCTTTGCAGGACTTGGATATGGTGGGGAAACCTAACACCACTTTGGAGTATTGCAGGTGAAGTCAAACTTTTCATTGTTCAGCAAGGTTTGTAGGTTAGCTTTAGTTGTAGTTTTTGTTTCATTTTATTTTGCTCTCATCTATGTCAGTGACAACTATGATTTGACAAACATAAAGATAAAAAAACCTGCTGTCACGTTGTGGTCCAAGTTTTGGCCTTGGATTATGGGCATTTCGGTGCAAACACCAGAATCCTATCCGTAGTAAAACTAATCTTCACTGAAGAGGTGTATTGAAAGTTTACGAACAAAACTCTGTTATTTAACAACGCTTTTCTTTTGTGACGCCTCTATATCGTCCTCCCTGTGCACGTGTAACGAAAAAAACCAGGTTAAATAAAAGACGACTAGTGTTTTAATTGAGTATGTGTTTTATTTGTGAACTATCGACACACCTCAACAGGCACGATTTTTTTTGTCCTAAGGACGCTAGGCACGAGCCTGGGATTGTTTTCCACATTACTTCAGGCTAGACCTAGGGGTTGCGGCACTATCACTTAGATAAAATCCATTGGTGACTTGGCGGGGATCGAACCCGGGACCTCAGGGACTGAAGTTCATTACAGTTATGTGCATGTACAGATCTTAGTTCATGTACAGATCTGACAATGGCATTCATGTCGAAATGTGAAAATCCATTAAGTACAAAACTTGGACCACAATTCAACAACAGGTATAATTTATCTTTTTTATTCGCCAAATAGGCTAATATATTTTGGACACCACAGGATAAAATCAACTATAATTTATTCATGATGGAAGTCGCTCATATTAACATAAGGAGATTTAATATTTATTTTACCAGTGCTACAAATATTTCATTGAGTTAAGTTTGTTTGTCAAAATGTATGATGTCTTTCAGGTATTTTGATTATAGAGAGCCTCCGTGGTCTGACAACAAATATGAAGAAACAAAGCTATACTGGATGGTGCTTGCTGCTCGTCTTACATTTTTCATTGTGTTTGAGGTATCTCATCTGTATTTAAATTGTACACTGAAAGTTATTTAATAGCTATGTTGAGTTTAAATCCACGAACCTTGTATGTAAATCTAACACAAATAAGATCTATAGGCAAACACATTCTTAACCCTTTTTATACTTTATGTAACAGTAATTGAAATATGATTTTTTAAACTATTTTAAATCTATAATGAGGCAGGGATATATTACATTTTAGATTTATTTTTTTCCAATCCTCAAAGATCTCTAAAGAACTGTCTACATATTTAGCTATGAAAAGAGCATCAAGCCATAATGATGGCAGTGATGATGTTAAATATGATGTTATGATTTTACAGAATATGATCATGATGGTAGTGGTGTTGGTTAATTTGGTGGTGTGGTGTAACATGATCTGATCATGATGGCAGTGGTGCTTGTAAATCTGGTGTTGTGATGTAACATGATGGCAGTGGTGATGTTAAATCTGATGTTATGATTTAACAGAATATGATCATGATGGCAGTGATGTTGGTCAAATGGCTCATACCAGATATTCCTCAGACTGTTAAGTGGCAAATGAGACGCAAGCATTATTTGATCAATGAAATGATTATCAGTCATGAATCTAAACAGAAATGTAAGTATTAAAGTAATACTGTATTCTAAAATATATTTTATTTTATAATGGTGCAAAAGCTCTTTATTTCATGTAGGCCTATGCCATACTTAAATTGACGTACAATATTTTACCTAACCCGCAATATGTTAAACTTCCCTCCCAAGCGTGATGTATACAACTTCTTTACTTCACTCGTGAAGTAAAGTTTCAAAAACTCACTCGGTGAAGTAATAAAACCCATTTAAATAATATTGAGTGCTCAACTTAATAATATATACCTCTATAAAGCCAACATCGTTCAACGCTAGAAATCAGCTGTGCGCTTGAATTTTATTGTTATACCATAGTTATACTAACCTAGCTTTTGTTTGCAAAAGAACGTTACTGATAGAAGATGAATGAAATGGATAATGAAAAATATTTTATGTAACACCCTGTATATTGTCGGGTCAGGTCAAATCTTGAACGTTACACGTTATGCAAGAGAGTAAAAATTTAAAAACGTACGTTTTCAGGAAAAGCACTTTTAACATTTTTTGTTCTGTTTTTTGAAACTTTTTTTTATTTTTTTTATTTCATTGACATTTGAAGTTTCATAAAATGTCCATGGTAACGACAATATCTTTGGTAATTTTTTATTAATAGAGCATCTTTGATGGAAAAACACGAAATTTTGTCACGACCATCACGGACATAAAACTGCATATTAAAAATAGTTAATATTATTTTTATAACTATGTTTTGCTATAAATTAATTTACTCTTATGGCCATTATACAATAAACAGCTCACTAAGCTTTTAGTATATTTAGTCTTTCTAGAAAAAAATTTAAAAAATTAAAAAATTTGAAAAGAGCTAATAAAATCTTTTATAAGTTTGTATAACTCTGAAAAAACTTACCTGAGACCCGAAAAATCTTTATTTTTTTATAGAGGTGTGCTTCTTTTGTGTATAAAACATTGAAATATGATGATATTTTAATTTTTGAAATTGTTATGATAAAATCATAAACGTGATGGTCAGGGACAAGCGGTACGGTCGTGAATTGTCTGGAATAATCTAAATCTTTCTAAACAATCCTTCAATTATACTGATAGTTATAACAAAATATGTGTTTCAATTGAACTAAACTGTTTAATTTACAATGATATTTAAGTTATTGTCACGACCAAACACAGTATAATCCATAAGACTGGATTGGTTGTGAAAAAACCCGCGATGGTCGTGAAACTTTGGTCGTGACATTACTTGTTATTTGGCTCTGTTCTGGAGGTAGCCCTGCACCTCATGTTCGAGGATACAAAGTGGACTTCTAGGTTAATCTAGCAATTGAAATATCTCATAAACAAAAATTAACACCGTGTCTACTTTATCGAATGACTGCGTACGGTCATGGACACACCAACATTACAAAATACCCCCGCCGCAGCAAACCTGCAGACTGAGCGAATTTCAACTTCTTCTGATTACATTTTTACTAAAATATTTCCATAGTCCATTTCCATATTTATTCCCAATTTAAATAACATTAGATTTAACGAGTGCTTAGGTTTGCTGCTACGGGGAACGTAAACAGTGTTTTTTAATCGAACGTCAATAGTGTAGTATGAAGTAAATAAATTTGGCAAATTTGATCAAAATATATCCATAAACAAGTCAACTACAAGAGTTTTCATTTTCTCCATAAGAAATAATATGGGAATTTTAAATTTGCCTTTTTTGAATTTTCTCCGTAACCCTTAGGCATACAACAATGCTTCAATATACTAAATTATTTCTTTTTTTAAGCTCTACAAAATAGTTGAGAAAAAATTCAAAAATTTTATCTTTTTAGGGTCAAAAAAGGGAAAAACCCATTTTTACCCCATAAAACCCCCCATAAACCCCCGTTCCCATGGTCTGATCATGCTGGTTCGCGAACTCGTTCGAATAAAATGTAGCTTTACAGGTTTATACCAAATTACATCAAAATCGGATAATTTTTGTTCGAGTTATCGTGTTAACGGACACTTATATATATATATATATATATAGCCGTTTTCATAAATGAAAAAAAATAATAGTGCTGCATCCTGTTGGTAAATCTTATAACTTTTAATGCCTTTGCATATCATAGAACCAACCTTTTTAGTTGAAACAGCTAACTAAATTCTTTAATTCCATTTAAATATGAGTACTCATAAGGTTAACATGGGAAACTCTAGAGCCATTGGGGCAGAGCCCCGAAAGGATTTTTGAGATAAAAATATGCCTATATGTTAATCGGGAATGTGAGCTATCATCATGCCAAATTTGAGCCCAATCCATCCAGTAATTAATGCATGGTTAAACTTCAAACACACAAACTTTCACATTTATAATACTAGTAAGATATAAATATATAAACACTAGCTGTAACCCGCGGGCTTTGCCCCGTTTAACTTCTTAATTTTCAAGATTATCTCGTTCGCATGGCTCAATCACGTCCTGGTTGAAGTTTGTTCGCTAGCTCACTCACCTTTAGGTTGGAGCTCGTTCGCTGCGCTCACTTGCCTTCAGGTTAGCTCGTTCGCTACGCTCACTCGCCTCCAAGTTGAAGTTCGTTGGCTACGCTCACTCACCTTTTGGTTGCAAATTATCTGTTGTCATAAATGTAAAAGAAATAATAGTGCTGCACCCTGTTGGTAATCCTTGTAACTTTAATGCTATTGAACATCATAGAACAGAACCAACTTGTTTAATTGAAACAGCTGTTAAGATTCAATAATTCTATTTCTCATAAGGTTAACATGGGAAACTCCAGAGCCACTGGGGCGGAGCCCGAAAGGATTTTTGAAATAAGAATATGCCTATATGTTAATCGGGAATGTGAGCTATCATCATGCCAAATTTCAGCCCAATCCGACCAGTATTTTTCGTGTTCACTTGTCACAAACATCCAAACTTTCTCATTTATAATATTAGTAGGATATAAATATATATATACAGTATATATATGAATCTGAACGGATGGTGTTTTTGGCCTCTGGGGACCTTAAAACAAAAAAGGAAATCGGTTCCGGGTCCAGGTCTTACCATGAGACCGACGGTAATAGCTTATTCCCTATATGGGAAATTCGCTAAAACACAAATTTGCCTTTATTAATCTTGTAATTCCTCCTTTCAACTCGAAACGACCGGCACTACAAACTTGACGTACACCTCGAACTAGTCTCTAAAACGAACTGTCCTGACACAATCGACGGCAGGATTGCCACTGTCGTGCTCCAAAGTTGAAAATTTTTCCCAAATGGTCGTGACGCCAAATTGAGGGACAGACTTATTTTGTCATGGTAGTCAGTTTGCAATGACAATAAAAATTTAATATGCTCCTTTTTTGTAAGTTTAATAACTATTGATGTTATAAAAATATGGCTTTATATATTTCAGCATGAATAATTAGTCTAAAAACAGTGTGAAAGTTGGAAAATGTACCCTAGGGACACGTCATGGTCGTGAATTTTGGGAATTTAAAAATACGAAAAAAATACCTAGAACCAATTTAAAACTAAATAAATGTGTGTAACATGTTGCCCCCATCTCAAAAAATATTAAAACACATAATAATAAACTACAAATCCAGTATCTACGAAGTAAAAGGCCAGGGACATGAAAACGTACGTTTTTAAATTTTCACTCAAGAGCGTGTTTACATCACTAGGGTGAATTATGCATTCACTGTGTGATGTAAAAACGCTCTTACTACACTTGTAAGGTAAATAGCTACTACACCATACTAATAAATATGTACAAATCCTTATATATTACCACCACCTTAAGGACTTACAATCACTAGTTATAACCTCTAAGAGAGGTTATGTTGTCATTTATAACGGCTCATTGCCAAATACAGTATAATCAGCTGTTTGGTGTCCGGTAAAACTCATTACAGTACAGTAGAACGTAATGAAACCCCATTTGATTAAGCTGGCGGCAAGGCAAACAGCTATTTTTTCTAGACTGTTTCCTTGCGTGGGAAGTTCGTCAAAACAGTAAACAGTGTTGTGTGGCCATGCTCTGTGAGTGTGGCGTAAAGTAGTTTGCCAATTGCCAATCAAGAAATAGATGTTCATTAAATTTACTGGGTTGTTGTTTTGTCAACAGTTTTACTGTGGAAAATTTTACAATCAAGCATTTTATTTTGCAGCTCAGAAAACAGAAGAGAATAGAGCACAGTCTGATACAAAAATTGAAAAAAAAAATAAAAAATAGAAAAGTGATTAATTTAATTTAGAGATAAGGCTGAATAGCGTCATCCCCACCACGTACCCCTTTGGGTTTCCGTTGAAAACTTATATTCATTAATTGACAAAAATGTAATAAATTATTTTTAAGATTCCAAATTATATGTTCATGTCACCGTACAATACCTATGTCTTACATATAATAAAATCCTAATACAATTATTTTTTGAATCTATATGATTAGCCTACATGGAGTTTTTTTTTTATAATGGATGTTTATTTTTTTATTCTAAAGTAATGTTGAATAAACTTGTTTAGCATGTTTTATTCCTTTTGTAAATTCTTAAAAGGGAACTAATTTATAAGAATAAGAATGTTCCATTGTTGTCAATTGTGCTTTAACCTTTTGAATTTTGTGTAAATTAGTTTGCCGATCAAAAGTAGATGAGCTTTAAGATAATTCTTTTGAGTTAATTAGTTAATGACTTCCCAAGTGTCATGGCGGATGGTCAAGGTGATCCTAACTGCGGCTTTTGTTTTAAATTTGTTAAAAATAATTGTAATGTGATGGTTTTTATCCAAATGGTACTACATTGTTTGTGTAAATGTTTCTTCAGTTGAATATGACTTGGTAAAGAAATAAGGGGACAAATTTAAGTGGTTCTTTGTTCTTTGACTCCTGTGATGTTAAACCTCAAAAGTCTGCAGACGGGTGGTAATATTGAATAATTTATTAACCTAAATTTTACTGTCCTGAACTTAATATCTCTCGATAAAGGAGTTGTTGAAAATAACCTCGAACTAAACAACAAACTTGATGACATTGTACAAACCAAGAAGCGGTCCTCTGCAGAAACCCATTCTCAGCTTATACCTAGGCCTAGCCAAGAGCAATGACTATTTAAACCTACTTCTAGGCTTACATCTTGACAATAAAGTAAACTGGGATGACCAGATTAGCCATGTTTGTGCTAGACTTTCCAGAGCTCTGTGTCTACTCAGAAGATTGAGATATTTTGTACCAAAGGACTGGCTGAAAACTGCTTATATTGCTTTCTTTCGGAGTATTTTATAATATGGTCTAAGGCTCCTGGGTGCCACCTCTGGGGTCAATTAAGAGAGTTCTTCGCTATTAAAAGAAAGCAGTTAGACTCTAACACTCTAACTGTTAGAGTAGTGGTGCTGATTACTCGGATCATTGTAAACCCATATTTGTAGCCGAGATAATGGTGGTTTGTAACCTCTATATTTTTCAGTCTTTGCTCAAAATCAAGAAGGAATGGGACTCCTTTTGGCAAACCCTTTGTACAAACTTAAAGAATTTTTTGATCTGAAAGAGGAATATGTAAGTAGTTTTTTTAGTTTCTAACCGAGTGTTGTGAGCTTTTTCTTTTTCTCTGCATGGAGAGTTTCAGAAATTTATTTTATCTTGGTGAGAAACCTTGTACAATTCTCTTATTTTATTTTTTTTTGTGCTGTAGTTGTACTGACGTTTTCCAGTAATGTAATATTGCATTTTGTAGAAATAAAAATTCTTGATTATAATATGCCTACTGTTTTGTTAACAGTTATTCTGTAAAAAAATTGACAATGAAACATGTTATTTTGCAGCTCAGAAAACAGAAGAGAAGAGAGCACAGTTGATAAAGAAAGTTGTAAATGGAAAAAGTGAATAATTTAATTTAGAGTTGAGACTGAACTATCCCAAAACCAACCGCTACCCTTTTGGGTTTCTATTGAAATTTTATATTTTTATTTGACAAAGTTTTATGAATCATTTTAACGTAATACAATTTTTCGTGTGAACCAATATATGATTACATAAGAGTTTTTTTCTGTAAATAATATTTTTTGTTTTTTATTTTAAAGTTATGTTGAATATACTTTTATTTCTTTCGTAAAATCTTAATATCCCCACTGCAGCAAACCTGCAGACTAAGTAAATATTTTCAGACTAAGCTTGAGGACCCATGCTGCTCCGCAGCGTTAAAATAGATATAATATCCGAGAAATAATCAAATTATGATTTTTGATTGAGTACGGTATCTTAATCGCTTAAATAAAAGCCGATATTTCACTGAAAGTTCTTAGAACAAAATATATAGGATTATATGAATATAACTGGTGAAATACATCTTAAATTGATGTAAGAATTCGAAAATTAAACAAATTATGTTTTTTAGTTGAGTAATACAGTAGGTAAGTATATGGCGATGTTTGATGTGTAAATTAGTTCACCGATCAAAAGTAGATGTACATTAAGTTAATACTGTTTTGTTAAAAGTTATTCTGTAGAAAATTTTACAATCAAACATTTTATTTTGCAGCTCAGAAAACAGAAGGGAAGAGAGCACAGTTTGTTAAAAAAGTTGTAAATGGAAAAAGTGAATAATTTAATTTATTAAAATTTGCCTGATTGGTTTTACTATAAAATATCTCCTTAAAAATATCACATTTATTCACTATTTAAATAGCATTAGTTAAACAAGTACTTAGGTTTCCTGCAATAGGGAGGGTAAAAAAGGGTTTTTTTGTAAAATGTTAATAGTTTAGTTTGAAATAAATCAAAATACTGTATGTTCCTAAACAAGCAAACTACAACAGTTTACTTATTCTTCATAAGAAAAACATGGGAATTTTTAATTTACAATTTTTAGTATTTTCTCTGTAACTATTAGGTGCATAACAACGCTTCAATAAACCAAATTATTTATTTTTTGAGCTCTACAAAATAGTTAATAAAGAAATTGCAAAACTGTATCTTTTAGGTTCAAAATGGGAAACCTCAATTTTTACCCCATATAACCCCCCATAAACCCCTGTCCCCATAGTCCGATCATGCTCGTTCTCGAACTCGTACGAAGAATAAATGTAGCTTTACACATTTAGCCTATACCAAATTTCATCAAAATCGGATAATTTTTGCTCGAGTTATCGTGCTATATATATATTTCTTTAATATTTAATAGATGGTGTTTTTGGCCTCTGGGGACCTCAAAACGAAAAAGTAAATCGGTCCCGAGTGCAGGTCTTACCATGAGTACTGCGGAAATAGCTTATTCCCTATGGAAAATTCGCTAAAAGGAAGTAATTTATAAGAATAAGAATGCTCCAGAGTTGTTACACTGGTTAACAATCATGGCATTATCAGAGAATGACTTGGAACTAACGGTTTTAGGTTAAATTTAACATTATCTATGAAGTATGATTTTTAATACTTACACAGTTACACAGTTTTAAACACACAGTTCTTGAGTGTTATTTTAAATTTTTGAAACAGCTTATATTTCATAGAACCAGTAGTATGTTACTACAATTATTTGTATTTAACATTTTCATTTCATAAATATTCAACCTGTATTCTGCTACGTGTATGTTGTGTGTTGTAAGTTTATATTTGAAATAAATAGTTAAATAAATGTAGGATGAAAAATGAGCCTTATTTTGTCACTAGTTTATTTATATCAATTGAATCACATTTTTGAAAATAACATATGATTAAATAATTAAATGCATAGCATTTGAAACATAGAGATACAACAGTTTCTTCCCCACTAAATTTGATTCATCAGTCCAGTCTTTTCCGTTGCTTTCTCGTTCTGGCTGATTTGCGAGGAACATCTGTTGAAGCATTGTCATCTGTTTGAGGATTATTATGTTCACTGGGTTGAAGCCTGATTTCTGCATTTTTAAGTTGATCATTGTTATCTTCTCTGCGTTGAAGCCTGATTTCTATATTTTCCAGATCATTGTCCTTGAATGTCACGTTCTGTTGTTGCAAACTGGTATTTTCTTTAGGATGAGCTGGAGTGTGTTTTGTCTTTTGTTTCTGGCACTGATGTTCTCTTCAACTGATCGATGTGTCTCTTGCCAATGTAACCGTTGTCCAGTTTGACTTTGTAGTGCAGAGCTCCAAGTTGAAAAATAACTTTTCCAGAATTCCAGCCGTCTAAGGAACGTACTAATATTCTCTCCCCCACTTTAAATGAGCGGCTTACTTGTTGAAAACCTGGATGTAATGATGTGTTTTTCTTAGGGGGTTTGAGAGCATCTAGTTTTGTTCTGATCTTTCGATTTAAATACAGTTCAGCCGGTGATTGTCCGCATTGTAGAGGTACAGCTCGGTAGCGAATCAGTATGTCTTGAATTTGTGATTTAATATTCTTTCGAGGATCTTCAGCACAATTTTTCAAAGATATCTTTAACGTTAGCACATAGCGTTCCGCTAACCCATTGGTTGCTGGGTGTCCTGGGGCGATAAATTTTTGAAATATGCCTCTTTGTCGGCAAAAGTCTGTAAATTCTTGGCTAGTAAAAATAGTGGCATTATCAGAAACTAGTACAGCAGGATATCCATGTGTAGAGAAGATATCATTTAGAAATTCTATTGTCGTAGCTGTGGATGGTGCGTTTTTGGTTATTCGAACCTCAGGCCATTTAGATTTTGCATCAATCACTAAGGAAATGGTGTCCATTAAATGGTCCTGCGTAGTCCATGTGAACTCTTCCAAAGTTTTCCTTAGGGATTTCCCAAGGGTGAAAAACTTTTGTTGGCTGTTTTGACTGTAAAGCGCAAGCTGCACATGATCGAACTTTATTTTCAATGTCTTTGTCAATTCCAGGCCAATAACAGTGGAGTCTTGCGAGTCGCTTCATTCTTACCATTCCTATGTGTGTTGCATGAAGCTCTTCTAAAACATGAGAGTGTAGTGATCTTGGAATGTATACACGTTCTCCTCTGAATACAATTCCTTGATTGGTTGAGTAGATTGGATCATTTGCACCTTCTTTTATTTGTTTCATAAGATCTTTTATTCCTGGATCGTACGCAGTTTCTTTTGAAATTGAATCACTCGTGATGTTGATTGATGAGATTTGAAGGATTGAATTCTGTTCTATTTCATCTTCTTCTTTATTCAGTGCTGTGTCGATACCAAAAGATACCTATGTAAACTTAGTTTCCAGTGACACAGACAAACTAGTTACTGCAGTAGAATCAAAATTTCCAGAAATATTTTCACCAGAAATAGGACATATTCCTAATGTCACCTGCTCTCTAAAGTTAAGACCTCAATCCAAACCAGTATTTTTCAAACCTAGACCTTTACCGTATGCACTCCGGGATAGAGTGGGACATGATCTTGACAAACTCGAACAAGACAAAATCATCACTAAAATCGAATCATGCGACTGGGGTTCACCCTTAGTTGTAGTGCCTAAGCCTGATGGTACACTTAGGCTATGCGCAGACTATAAAGTCACAGTCAACCCTCAACTCTACGATTCACACTATCCGATTCCTAGGATCGACGAAACACTCCACAAACTGAGAAACGCCAAGTTTTTCTGTACTCTCGACCTCTTTAAAGCTTACCTACACATAGGTGTCGATGAAGAAAGTGCTTGTGTTCAAACAATATCAACCCATAAAGGTACTTACAAAGTCAACAGATTGTCTTTTGGAATCAAGACTGCACCCAGCATATTTCAAAAAGTAATGGAACAAGTATATAAAATAAACTTTAAAACAAATAGAAAACACGTTAGGCTCTCCTCGTCGCCATTTCTGTTGTGTATTGTAAGTTTATATTTGAAATAAATAGTTAAATAAATGTAGGATGAAAAATGAGCCTTATTTTGTCACTAGTTTATTTATATCAATTGAATCACATTTTTGAAAATAACATATGATTAAATAATTAAATGCATAGCATTTGAAACATAGAGATACAACAGTGTATAATACTTTAATACATGTACCATTTTAATGTACAAAATATTTTATATACTGAGCTATAATTCTAACTGGAGGTAGCACTGAATGTCAAAGATGCGTGCCGCCAGCCGCCATGTTTGCGTGAGTCTGGTGTCATAAGAAGCCATATTATTGCTATAACTATTATTATACTTGGCTTAAAATACCTACTTTGTATGGTCGCCATTTCAAAGAAAATTATTAAAGTATTAAAAGTATTCAAGTATGACAAAAATACTCACTGCTATACCAACCTAGTTATAAGAAGCCATGTTATTGCTATGGTAAGAAAACTTACTGCTATACCAACCTAACAAAATCAGCGACTCGCTTTTGACAGACTTCTGCCATGGCAGTGCTACCTCCAGTTATAATTTTAGCTCAGTGATTTTATATTATCTTTTTATTTTGCTAGTCCTTGTACAAGAGTCTGGGTCCTATCCAAGAGAAATGAAGGACGCTTGATTGTTTTTGAAAACAAGGTCCTAAGAAAAATATTCGGCCCAGTAAACGAAGAAGGAGAATGGCGGATTAGAAAAAACAGAGAGCTACGAGCGTTATACCAGGACCCTGATATAATAGCTTTGATAAAGGCAAAAAGATTAGGCTGGCTAGGTCATGTATTGCGAAGGGAAGAAGGAACAAGACTGAAGGAAGTATGTTCTGCTGTACCAACTGGAAAGCGTCCACTGGGTAGACCAAAAATGAGATGGTATGACCAAGTTAAGAGAGATGTGAGTCAGTGTGGAGGGACAGTGGAGATGGCAGCGGACAGAGAAGCGTGGAAGAGGCTGATCTACGAGGCGAAGAATCGACTGCGATTTGTAGCGCCCCAGCAGTAAGTAAGTAAGTAAGTAGTCCTTGTACATTCCAAACATTCCAAAATACAACAATCAGTATCCAATAGTCAAAGGTAAAACATGTAAATCTAGTTCTTTCTGTTTGTGACCTACAACTCTGTATCTAAGTAATTTTTTATCTACATCCTTCAATAGCCTATGTGAAGAAATTATTGTTTTCGTCGACATTTTCGAGTTTAATTTTTGGGTGAAAATATCCTTTTTGGGTCCACCTGAACCCATAAAAGGGGTTTTGCGAAGGTATTTCCGTGAGTGTCTGTATGTGTGGAGTGGATGTTCTGTAGAGAGCTACAGACAATCAGTGATGACTGGTGTGATTTTGATAGAACTTTGTGTGTACTAATCCAAGGTTACTCCAGACGTTTCATTTCATATTTTTTAAAGGGGATTTTCCCCATAAAAACCCATAAAATATTGGAAAATCACATTTTTCCAAAAACGGCTTGAATGATTTTGATCAAAATGTTGATCCTAAACAACTCTCTTAACTCTAAACAAAATGGTACAACCCCTAATGGACTCCCAGGTACTTTCTTATCTACTTAGTACTTACCATAGGACTGTGAGGCCGTCCGCCTGTCTCCTCTGGGGCGTATCGGCGTATGAATCTTATAGCATCACATCTGTCCACGTTGACCTTTACCCTCTACTTAGTCAGCCAAGGTTGTAATAGGAGGTCCAGCTGCCCATTGGAGGTAGTAGGTACAGACCCGCAACATCCTCAGGTTGGTGGAGGTCGCTGTCAGCAGGGCGTCGTCTGCGTGAGTAACAGCTGGACTCTGGCCGCTACAGGCGTGTCGTGTGTGTAGTGTACGTGGACGTCTCACTCAAACTCGTCCGGCTGAGTAGCACACCTTATTTACTTCCACCATAGACTAGGGTGGTCTGCCGTTACATTTTAGACGCATAAATGAGCGAAGCGTTATTTAAAGATTGTCAATGGCTAAAGCAGCTAACCCTACAATATGTTCCCTTTCAACAGATTCACCGTTTGTTTGCCCGATATTATTTAAGTTCTAAAGAATGACAAATTTATCCGATAGCTCGTTTATTTAGTTAAGAATAGGAATAAGAATTGATAAAAGTTTATTAGACATGTGTATTTGACATTTCGTTTAAACGGTCAAGAGCTTCTTTCTTCTTTGCCCAAGATCCGTGTCTGTTAATTAACATCAATCGGTCTAGTGAAAATGATGGATCCAGAAGCAGGCCTTCAAATGTCTTAACTCTTGATAGGCCTACGTAGGACAAACCTAAGCCATATTCTGAAGATCCAATGTCCACAACAGCTTGGTCCACAGTTATACCTTGTGCTTTATGTATTGTTAATGCATACGCTACTTTGAGTGGAAAACACAAGATACGTTGGTTTTTTTTTTTTAACTTGCGCTTTGGATAACAATAGGTATTTCGCCTTCATTCATAGGTAACAGCTAATTCATGTTGAAATTGATTAGCTAACTGCCTATCATTATCAACTTCTTCCGCCACTGCTTCATCTGGTTCTTCTTGTTCACGACGCCACTCTCTTACAATATTTGCATTATTGGTGCGACGACCAATATTACGACGTGGCCTTTGAGGCATGCTCAAAACAAATATAGCAAAACTGTTACATTCCAACTTTAACCAAGGCCCCACTAGAAAAATGTTTTTCTAGTGGGGCCTTGCTTTAACCTAGAATGAAAGTAAACATTGAAATGTAAACAAAACAGTTACAAACATTAACATATGTTTATCTTATTTAAATGAAACGAGATAAACCCTTATGTCATAAACCCAATATAATTTTTCTTTCAACTTACATTAAAATAACAAGCGAAATTGCGTGACCCGTAAAATAAAATCCAGAAGGAAATTTGCAAATATTATTTTACCAAAACATTGTGTTCAGTATTCTTTAGCTGTTGGCCAAATTTCATATCAATTGGTCAAGCCATTACATTCTGATGCCCTTTCAAAGAAGTTACAAAGTGAGGGAAAGTGAGCCTCAATAAAACATACTCCTTCCACCATGGATTGGACTAGTTATTTCTTTCGCAACCGAACCGAACCCGAACGAACAGAACACTGCGAAGAAGACTGAACAGTGAACACTGGACTGGACTGACTGAACACGAACACTGAGGGAGGACTGAGGAGGAGGAGGAGAACACTGAACAGTCGACACTTCTCGACATCCATACAAACCAAACTTATTTCCAAACAGCTTTAAAATTAGTTGATAAAATTTGTACTTTCATCTACATTTTTGTATAGTCAAAAGGTAAGTCAAATAATCTAATGAAATAGTTTTATAACACGATTTTCCTAATGACTTCAGATTCAAAGCATATCAATAAGCTATTTGAGGTTAGAAACCAATTTTTATATTTTACACTTGCTCTCTTTCGTAATAGGCCTAGTATTTCATTTCAACAAACGTTGAGGTTCACGACGAGTTTAAACATGCTATCTCAACATATTTTGCTAGATATTTAGCAATTTCTGTATCTGAAACATGCTGGAATGCCAACATATAATAGGTCTAGGCACTGATTGATTGTGTCTTTAGTTGGGATAGGACTGCTTGTATTGTAATAAGGTCTATGTTACTAGCCTATAGCCTACTACTGCAGCTTTTCGACATTGTTTCAATTCAACTAGGCCTAGGCTACTAGCCTATCACATCACACATACATTTCGCCCTCAAGTTAGGTAAACTTACCCTTTTTCTTTGTGAAGACCAAAAAGGATTTGCAGCAAATCATCTAAGCAGCCAAAGAATTCTCAGATGGTCCATTTTTGTTAGCCAAATATTTTACCTGGCTTGGTTTTTTGTAAAATAATAAGTCAAAACTTTCTCAATCATTAGTGTAGGCCTAAGTTATAACTCCAAAATGGCTAACATTTATGGTTAAACACACAGTTAACACGTTGAGTGCGTCACCGAGAACCGGTGGCGAAACTTGCACGCAGGCCAGCCTGGTCACTGGTGGCCAGGTCCCACTGAAATGAATCAGTCATTGTGGTGCGTCTTGAGGATTAGACGGGAGTTAAAATTGGTGGTCATTCATTGTCAGTTCTTATCAAGGATGTTTTTAATGAAAGTTAAAATTAACTTAGGCCTAGATATTAAGTTAACTGTGCTAGGGAAGTAATTAGAGTGGTTTTCAGGTTACCAATCTTAACCCTTCAAGACGGTTTGACGAGACCCTCTCGTATTCAAATTGAAGTTTATTGTTAGTAAAACACAATGTTTGTTCGTTCATTTTAGCCTCGAAATGTGCATTGTGTCGTGAGTTTGTGTGAAATGTGTTATAGTTATTATATACAGTGTTGGAGTGTCAGGTTATAGGCCTAGTAGTTATAGGTTATTTTGCTTTAGGGAGTAGTCAGATTTGATAGGGTAATTTAATTTGTGAGATAAATGGTAAGTTCTGGCCAAATAGAACGTTGGCTAGATTATAACCTAGGCCTATTAGGTCCGGGGAAAATGATGAGTAAGAAATGGACTTTGCCCAACAGAAGGTTGGCCTAGTAAAAAACTTCCGTGGCAGGGTCCTGTACGCATACAAAATCCGCCTTGAAGGGTTTATAGGGCTCTCCGGAACATACTCAGTAGTTACTGACTAAGGAAGTTAATCTTATGACCATAGTTCATGTTTCTACCTAAACCTGTTACCTAATTTTTTTTCAGGCAGCATCAGTAGATTTACTTCACAGGGGGTCTCCCCAACCCCCAAAGATCCCCATGGCTAACTGGGGTAGGAATTACGGCTCAAACAGAAATCAAAATTCCTACCAAAACTATCAACATGGGAGACCGTATGAGCACTATGCTAACTATGGTGCCCAACAGCAGAATTACTCCACCAATAGTGTTCACCAATCATTTGGCCAAAATTCGCTGAGCTTTTCACCCAACGGTGTTGGTCCTACCATTTTACCATCAACCCAAAACTTGTTCCCATATACAGTTCAGAGATACCAACCTTCCGTGTACAACAACGTTGAAATCAGCAGTGAGATATTGGCGAGAGCGGCCAACTCTCAGCTAACTCCCACAGCCGGAGAGTTCATACCTAGTTCCGTTTACCAGCAATCTTCTAACACGCCAGCAGGTGAGTAAAATTTTAACAAACTTGATCTATTTTGAGATTTGTCATTAAACTGATGAATAGTTATAATAATATATAGCCTATTTTAATGGTTTGTTTTGAATATAAGTTGTTATGCATCTAGATTTCTTATGTAGGCCCTAAGTTACAAATCATATCAAATTTCCCCCCTCAAGCCTAGATACTTTAGATCATCTGATAAAATACCGGTACTTTCAATGTCACTGAACATTGCTAAATAGTTTTACTCTTACTTCCCTAACCAGGGTTGGTACGGTCAGGGAAAACATAGAAAAGTAAGGGTATTTTGTTGGTCTGGAAAAGTAAGGGAAATGTCAGGGAGTTATGAAAAAATTCTAGAATTTCTCCTGAAAGACTACCTTTTTACAGATATGCTACGTTTTGCTCTAAACAGGTTTTTGTCAGGGTGATGACTAATGGCAAAAAGAACAACATAAGCACTGATGAACATTTTTATATTGATATTTAGTTATCAGTACGGGGGAGGAATCAATATAGGCCTATATAGTTTGAAACAACTTTTGTATTTGGGAGTGATTAAACAAGTTAAATAGCCTATTTACATTTTTTATTTTTTTATTTCTTGATTATGATTAGTTGATATTGACTAACGGTATGGAAAAAGTATAATATCAGTCTGGAAAACCTGGAAAAGTCAGGGAATTTTATTTATCAAATTTAGTACCAACCCTGCAACCGCTCAAGCCTCACTATACATGATCACACTAACTTGCTGATCGTCCTGAACCCGCACCAACTGCAACTAATATACTACCCATACCACAATGATGATTATGACAATACCATACACACACACTAAAGGCTACGATAGATCACATAATCGTAATTCTCAGCTCTCTCCTGTTCTCCTGTTCTGTTGTTTCTCCTGTTTTATTATGATTACTCAGCATATATGTCAAAGTTCTGACACAATCCAAATTAGAAAAAAAATCTTACGCCTAAGCTATGAATTAGAGCAGCCACAGTAGGCTGTAGGCGTACTGCAAATTCATGAAACAATACACAGTACACTAGGATTTGATAAAAAATAGGATGCAATGTAATTTAGGCCTACAAACAAAAGGGTGTGCAGCTGGTTTGCAAGTAAGGCCTACAGTCACAATTAATTATTAACTGTCATCCATCAAAGAGACTTTTTGTTGAGTGGATTTAAGCTGGATTCTCTTAGTAACTGTATTGCACTCTATTTATGATTTTGTTAGCAGGATTATAAAAGTTATCCCACCAGGCCTAAATATATTTGTTTGAACGATTTACTATCAAGAATAATTTATGAGTACTGGTAGCCTATTTCTTAGAGGAGATTTTATCTTTCATTCTTTACAATTGGTATAAGCCTATACTAACATTTTTTGTAAGCGAATTTTTCAAAATAAAGTTTTGACCGATCATTTGAAAACATTTAAATATGTCACATGGATTTAAAGTACCTAATAAAGTTCAAAACATTTGGTTATCTAAATATATAAAAGGCAAAGCCCTCACTGACTGACTCACTCACTCACTCACTCACTCATCACTAATTCTCCCACTTCCCATTTACCTAGGAGGCCGAAATTCGGTACACCGATTCTTTGGGCACTAAATAGGAAAACTAAGTAGTTTTTATTCTGATCAGGCTTTCGGGCTCCGCCCCAGTGGCTCTGGAGTTTCCCATGTTAACCTTATGATTTTTCATATTTAGGCCTAAGTTAAAAGGAATTTCTTAACAGCTGTTTCAATTAAACAAGTTTGTTCTGTTCTATGATGTTCAATAGCATTAAAGTTACAAGGATTACCAACAGGGTGCAGCACTTTATTTTTTTTATTATTTATGACAACAGCTAATTTGCAACCAAAACGTGAGTGAGCGTAGCGAACGAACTTCAACCTGGAGGCGAGTTAGCGTAGCGAACAAGCTAACATGAAGGCAAGTGAGCGCAGCGAACGAGCTCCAACCTAAAGGTGAGTGAGCGTTGCAAACGAACTTCAACCAGGACATGATTGAACCATGCAAACGAGCTTACTAATGAAGTTAAACGGGGCAAATCCTGCGGGCAGGCACGGCCCTAGGGACTTTGCCGCCCTGGGCGAGATCGGGACTGCCGCCCCTTTCTCTAAACACTATTTTTAAGCGTTTAGGAATTGAAATCTGGTGTTAATACTTAATACAATTTTGTGCAATTTTGTAACACTTTAACACTGAATATTTTGATTAATATGTTAACGGGACTTGGCCTAATAAAAAAAAAATATTTCAAAGGCGAGTAATAAAATCACTTAACTTTGTTGTTCCATTGCCACACCTAACGCCATCAAATCTTTCATTTCGGGGCGAAAAACCCGATCAGTTTACTTTGTTTCGACATAAAATAACACTCATGAGACACAACGGAATACGAAAATCATAAAAACTCACTGGCACAATAATTAACACCAGACGACAGATCAAGCGTAGTATGGGTGACGGGGTAGAGGAGGAGGGTGTCGATAGGCGGTTGAACGCGGAACGTCCTGTGACTCAGGTCTGTTTGGCGCGCAAATATCCAACCCCACCACTGCTACTGGCTACCGGCATGTAGTTTATCTGTTACCATTTATTCATCGATAATGAAAGTATACGTACAAACAAACAAGCTTAGTACAATAGGCATGACATTTGATTTATTTTATTGCTCACGTTAAAACGATTAATTTCAGGTAGGTGTAAAAGGTGAAGTGGTGGTGGTAGGGGGAGGGGTGGATAGGCTAAGGCTGTTGACCTTCCGTGACTTGTGCCTGTACTCTGTTTTGTGCGCAAAAACCATACTACTTTCACTGGCATTGCAGTTTATTTACGATTTATTGATATTGAAAGTATACTTTCGAAAAACAAGCTTAATACAATAATAGAAGTAAAATTAAAAAGGTTCACTATTTCATTGCATACGTTAAAACATTATTTTTTAAATGTTATTACAATTTTTTTACCCATTATAGGTTGAAGGGGGGATATATCCCCCTGATCCCCCCCCCCCCCCCGTATCTATGCCACTGTCCCGCCTAATTGTTTACTCCTGGGCTCCACCCTTTTCTTGAGCGATTGCCGAATTATGGTGTCTCCCTTAACTCTAACTTAATTATGTACTAAGGGTTCTAAGTGTAAATTGCACATTTTAAAATTATTTTCATTTCATAAGGTGGTTTATGTTTACAGTTGCAGATATCAATTATTTTTTTTGGTTTTTGTTTAAAATCTGACCTAAGAGTCGGCAGGACTTTCGGCCATCTTGGATTTCCCCCAAAACGGCAATGTTATTAATTGTTGAAGCAAATTACGACATTGTTTATTAAGATAAAAAGTTGCAAAATATTTTTGCAACTCCTCTCTCTTGGAGGGAAGGGAAGCCCATGCTACCAAAATAATCAATAATAAAGTAAACAAAACGTCGTGGGAGGGGGCAGAGAGAGAGAGAGAGAGAGGAATACGTCGAGGTCAATCCCAACCGCTGCAATGTTACTTTGACGCTGTCACTCGTCCTGGGTAACGTCGTAACGTGGTGGCGACAGTTGTTCGATACACAAGCCGAGTGGTTGGTTTTTATATTTGGGCTTAAATTATAATTTTAAATCGATGTTTGAATTGCCGTTTATCTTCTTAGGCTTGTTCTTTGCGTAAAATGTAATTATAGATAATTGTACTCTTCACATTCACTTAATGAATTTATTATTTTATTCGTATTAAAAATTTACTGTTCCCTAAAATTTGTTTGTTGCCCTGGCTCTGCAGCCCCAGTTCCACCGCCCCAGCTTCCCCGCCACGGCTCCGCCGCGGCCACCCCGGCTCCGCCGCCCCGGCCCCACCGCCCCGGCCCCGCCGGCCCTGCCTGCGGGTACAGCTAGTTATAATATAAATGCAACTAACAAAAATACTGATACCGTATCTGTTCTCAATTGTACTAATGTAATATCTAACTATTTTAATCTATTGTCGCCACCATCATTGCATGTTACATGAAAGATCCATAAACATTTTTGTTTTCAGATCCTCAACAGCATAATCAAACTAGTAGACCAAGCAATTACAGCAATGGAAATACCAATAGTAATAAAAACAATAGGACCTCTAGATCAAACGGATTTGCTGGTGAAAGTAGTTCGTCCAGTAATGGTACTAAAGATGCATCACATTTTCAAAAAAAGCCAACAAACAAAGGGAAAAACTACAATGGTGATAACAGAAACCGGCAAGTGAATATTGAGCAATCTAAAGCCGAAGGGCGGAAAAAGTTACTCGCTGAAGCGGCAGGGTTTTCGGCTCAGCAGAAAGACGCTTCAGGTCCATCTAGAGGTAAGATACAAAACATTTTTTAAAATAGGATAAAAGATTGAAAATACTCCACTGTAGCAAACCTGCAAACTAGGCAAATTTACTCTACCTGCCAATTAGAATCGTCTAAAACATCTATCCGTGTTGATTGTCTATATTTGATATTTCAGCCTAATCAAAGGGTTTACCATGCCATATCTAATTCCGTAAGACCAAAATTTTACAATGAAATTGTGAGCGAACGGGAGGCCGTAGAAAGCTGGGAGAGGTCTCATTTTAAAGGTCTGGGCATGAAATTTTGGGGGAAATTATTCATTTTTTTTTAATTATGCACCAAATGGTTGTTACGGAATAAAATAATTCACATTTAAATAGTTAAACTTCCCATATTTTATGTCATTTTATTTAGTAACTAGTGTACATGTTGCTCGAAATCGAGCAATTGCAAAGAAGTAAAGTAGTTACAGTATTTAAAAACAAATAATTAACTTATTTAAAAGCAAATAAAAGTCATAATTTCCGATGAGTTTAATAGACTCAGCTCATAGATTACGTGACTAACAGTTACATATAAGGGTCGGTTTCACAAAATGGGACAATTTCATTCCCTGTAAGTTATATCAACAATAAAATAATAATATTCAACTAAAATGTATGTTTTTATTTCTATACCTACCTTTATTATAACATCCAAATAATTTAAGGTACCTTTTTTAATTTAAGACATCGTTCTAATGGCACATAACCTTCAAAATACAAGGTCGCTCACTGTCCCCAACCGCTGTGCTGAGCAGACGAACATCAACAAAACATAAATAACTTTGGAAATGTCAGCTGTTTGATAGCTAGACGATTACAACAAGACAGTTTTAAAGAAACTCCAAAGACATTACAACGAAAACTTATAAAGAATTGTACTTTTGCCGTCTTTGATCCCTGTCCCCCAGAATCGTTTCACCAAAGACTACTAAAGTTGAACGTCACCAAAAAAAAATCCGCTAGGTGGTTTCGGCGGGAATCGGTCTTCTATGTTACTAAATGAGTGTTACAAGTTGTGGTTGATTAATTATGTGTAAAGTTTCGTCAATTTCACCAAATAATAACAAATAAAGAGGTAAGTCACTATGCGTACCTTAATTAGGTGACAAGTCGTTCACGCTAACATTAATTAAAATATGTTTGCAAATCCAACAAGTTATACAATTAACGATTAACAAAGATGCTCTTTACCCACCTCAAAAGTAGGTTTGCCGCGAGGCTCAGACAGAGTAGCTATCCTAGGCTATATGGGAAATCTACAAGTCGCTCACGGACAAGTCGCTCACGTGAACGACCAGGTAAAACGTGAGCGACTTGTACAATTCAGCACTTGTAAAGACAATAATATAATAATAACATAATAATATGCATAATATATACATAATAAGTCCATTTTAACAGCTAAATGATTCTTTAGCTTTATTTTGCTTATTCAAAAAAATTAATTACGTCCTTTGAGCATAATGTCTATTTTGAATTACTTTACTGTTTGAGCTAAAATAAACATTAAATTGTATTTCATTCTAAGGCAGTCTATTTATTTTTTCAAATAGCCTAGGCTACTAAATTCATAAACTAAAACGTTCAAAAGAATATTTTATTGTGGTAGTATTGGTACTTTATAAATTTATTTCGTCATCCATTGCTTTTAAAACCCATTTCATTTGGGTTTTTTTATATATATATGTTTATCTATGAATACTAAAAAGTAGTACCATTGACTATACACGACCGTAGTGTATAGTCAATGGTACTATGTGCGGTAATATGTATTATAGTATAATACATATTATCTTATTTAAATTATTATTTTATTTTACTATGTTATATCCAAAAATAATAATTAATGTGACAAAATTATTAAGGACGAAATAAGTATAGAAAATAAAAACCATAATTGAGAAATCAGAGTGATAGTTTTTTTTTTTTTTTTTTACAGACGCTTTAACTTATTCGGAGTGAAATGGCCCGCTCAAAAAAGCTTTCAGATAAAGAAAAATATGAACACCAAAAAAAACTAGCCCGTGAGCGGCAACGAAGAAGGAAAGCAAAAATGACAGATGAAGAATTAGAAGCAAAGAGGAAGTATGATCGAGAAAGAAGAGCTCGACTAAGAGCCGAAAAAAAAATCAAATCAGTAAAAGACATGACCTCTAGAGAACACAGACAAATGAAAAAGTATTGGCGGGAAAGGAATAAAGTACGAGCTTTAAAAAAAAAGCGCTTAAAGAAGCATTGGAAAATACGCCACCCCCATCACCGGCTGAACCTTCCCCTCAGAGGCTGAGGGGAAGAAGGAAAGTCCGAAGAGAAAGAGCAAAAGTTTATAGAACTGTAAAAAAGCAAAAAAAAAGAAATTGAAAGTCTAAAGAAGAGATTAGAAAGATATAAGAAAAGACTTAGAAGGGAACAGGAACGAAATGTTAATCCAAGTTCACCTTCGCCTAGGAAACAGGTGAAGGAACTTCTCGGAACCCAGAGGGTCTCACCTGCAGTCAAGAGAAATTTATTGTTTGGATTCGCTTTGAGAAAACAAGTCAAAAGCCAACAAAAAGAGGTAGCTGGATCCAAGAAAAAATTGCAGTTTTTACGGAAGTATCTGGGCAACAAAGTGTTGAAGAAATACAGGATACAACGACATTTCCGTGACATACTACCTTACAAAAGCAATAAAGTATTGAATGATTCTGGCTCATTGGAAGAATATTCCAGGAAGAAGAAGGACAGTATAAGAAAAAAACTCAGTACTGAACTAGAACTATTTTATGAAGATGATAGAGTCAGCCGCATGTGTCCCGGAAAAAAAGATTTTGTACGCAAAGGATCAATAAAGAAGCAACGCCGTGTACTGTTACACCCACTTAGAGAACTTCATAAAATGTTCAAAAACGAAATTAACTGCAACATTTCGTTCACAACCTTTGTTAGAGCCAGACCTTTTTGGGTGTCTCTGCCTAAAAAGTGTGACAGGGAGACATGCCTTTGCATGAAACATGCAAACATGGAGCTGCTGGTTTCTGCTCTAAAGCAGCATAAACTCATTAAAGAAAAGTCCCCAAAAGAAGTTTTGAGGTCTGTCGTCTGTGCTGAAGCTGAAGAAAGTTGTATGATAGGTAAATGTGCTCATTGCAATAAGAAAAAAGTCTTCTTTTCATATGAACAAGATTTCAAGTTAAAATATTATAAATGGAAAATAATCAGTGAAGAAAAGGTCATTAAGGGGAACAAAAAGGTAGTCAAGAGAACAAAGAAAGTTAAAATAATGAAGATGGTTTCGAAACTTGAAGCTGAATTTGTTCATGAATTAGCTACATTTAAAAAGCATGTTCATTATTCTAGACACCAGATTAGTACCGTGAAATCGAAAGTTGAAACAATGAAGTCAAATGAGTTGATATTTCGAATCGATTTTTCGGAAAATTATGTAGCTAAGCTGGCTCAAGAAGTTCAATCATACCATTTTGGTGCCTCGAAGCGCCAGTTATGCCTTAACACGGGTGTTCGATACTCCAAAACAGATGAAGGTGTCACCGATGCTTTCTGCTTTGCCAGTGTATCGGATAATGCCGACCACCAAGCCCATGCAGTCTGGGCACACATGCAACCCATCTTAGAAAAATCGGCCCAAGAATTTCCCAACACCACTGAAATCCATATAGTTTCTGATAGCCCGTCGAACCAATATAGGAACAGATACAACATACATTTGTTCAAAGAGATGTTGCCCCACATTTTCCCGAAGGTAAAATATATGACATGGAATTTCACAGAGGCCGGGCACGGAAAAGGCCCTATGGATGGTGTAGGGGGGACTTTAAAGAGGCTTGCGGACCACAAGGTATCATATGGGGCTGACATAACGTGCGCCCATGACTTTATTGAAGCTGTAGGAGATTGTCAGATCTTCATTATTGAAGTGCCACCCGAAGACGTTCAGATATATAAAGACAAACTTGTGCGCTTGAAAATTGATCCGATTAAAGGAATAATGAAAGTTCACCAGTTTGTGTATTTTGAAGGACAAATTTACGATGCTCGTGAGTTATCATGTTTTCAATGCCTTCCTCCCCAGATCTGTCGCCATTATAGCGTAAAACTTAATAGTAAAGAAAAGGTTCGACGTGCAAAATCTGGTCCTTCATCTAAATCATATCCAAAAAAAGTCAAACTGTCCGTGGATGCAATCTACACTTCCTCAGAAAATGAAGACGAAAATTGGAGTGATGAAGATTCTTCTTCGTGTGTTCTTCAGAAAGCAGATTGTAACATTTCTTCTGATAACTTGCAGTCTGGTGATTGTGTGTTGGTCAAATATAACGTCGGCCAAGATCAAAAAAAGAAATCCAATGTAAAGCAGTACGTTGGAATTTGTCAAGGCAACATGTCGGACGATCTAATAGAGGTGATGTTCTTAAGAAAATGTGCTAAAGACAACAACCTCTACTTTGTGAATGAAAACGACAAAGCTTCTGTCCACAAATCGGAAATATTTCAAAAGTTGAATCCGAAAATTATTTCTAAGGGCACCAGGGTTTTTTATAAGTTAATGAATTTAAATGTAACAAGCTAAACTAAAGGTTTTCCTGAACAAGACTACAGTTTCGGTATTATCTCTTTTGATGCCCATTTATTATTGTTGTTCTATATTACCCTTATCATGTTGCTATTGTTATTGTTATGTTGTTGTTGTTGTGTCAATTTGCATTTGTATTATGCCATACCTTGTTTTACAAGTTAGTTTGCTTATTATGTGTTTTTTTCAGTTTTTTGGCGACAATCTCTGATGTATGAGTGATTATTTTATTAATTAGCCCCCCATAACATTTTTATAATTAATTAAAAAGGTAGAAAGTTAAAATAATGAAGATGGTTTCGAAACTTGAAGCTGAATTTGATCATTGTTGGTACTTCATTTTTATATATGTTAGTTTTATATTTGTAATAATGTCTTCTTTTATTTCGTTGTCTTTGGTTATTTTCGT